TGTTCCCTTTTTTTAGGTGAGATTATTTTTTTGTGCCCCAGTTCTTGCTGTAGTATATGATATATTGAAATATAATTTTTTTGCCCTTTATATGGTAATACAGAAAGATGTTAGTTGTTGAACTCCCCAAAGTCATGGTCATTTTTGGTCCCTCTTTTCCATATTAGTAAAAAAATGCAGTAATACACAGAGTTAGAGTTTGCCTAAGTTTGTTAAAGATGTGGAAGCTGGTCAGCATTGTATCTCTGTTACATGTACTTGCCTAAGTGTTGTTAATGCTTTGACTACTTTGTTCATACTCTATTTTTGTGTGCACCTTTTAGGTACTTCATTAAGCTAATGTGTTGTTTTCTTCTTTAGATCTCTGTGCACCGATTTTATTTGGAAATACTGTATATGAACACTTAAATGTGTGTGAGTGCAAGCAGTTTTACATTTAGATTTTGTCTTCCTGTTTTAGATAACAAATCTCACTTTCCTTGTGTGCTTGCACTATAGGTTTGGGCCTGACAATAGCTGACTAACATGTCCTGAGCTGTGAGAGGGCATAGCAAGAAGGCCTTCATGCGGTAATGACCCTTTTCCGAGACAATGGTCATCATGGATTATGCGTTTCCAATTATTTGTTCCTTTATTTATTTTTTTGCATAACTCTAAATTAGAAACCTCACTGCTTCATGGCAGTTGGTTTGCTATTGCTTCCAATTTAAGTAGGGTCCATTTTGTGCCTACAGCTTTTTCTGATCATTTTAGACAGGAAATGAAGTCGTCCTAAATCTGGTTGGGCCACAGTGTTGAGTGTGATCACTGTCCTCAAAAATGTTACAAATTTAGCTCTAATTATTTTCTATTTGGTGGCATAAAGATTCAAGATGACAGTATATGCACCGGCTGTGTAAGGGAATTCGCTGTTAAGAAATGGACCCTTTGGTGTCTGACTGCAGGACTGGTACACACCTGCCTGCATACACACTAAATCAAAATCCCAGCCAGTAACCTATTTGGCCAAATACAAAGGAACAGGAGTTGAAGTGCTTAAGTGATCATATTTGAAACAGGAAAGATGGCAGTCAGAATAGTTGCATTTGTTTTAAACTGAACCTTAGGCGGCTTCTCACAGTCAGAATCTGTGTTCTGTTTTGTGTTTTATTTTTTAAGGACCTTGATGTGAAAGCAGGTGGCGGCTGTGTCATGACCATTGGAGAGATGCTGCGCTCTTTCCTTACTAAACTTGAATGGTTTTCTACGTTATTTCCGAGGATTCCAGTACCAGTCCAGAAAAACATTGATCAGCAAATTAAAGCCAGACCTAGAAAAATCAAGAAAGATGGCAAGGAGGGAATAGAAGAAGTGGAAAGACATACAGAGCGTAGACGTTCAAGGTTATACATAAACTTTAAGAATAACTGCTGTATTTAAATGTTGTCTTTCTTTAAATTTATGTCATTGACCTGTGTTCCTTTTTACAACATGCTTCTAAAAGTTAGTGATATTTATGTGCTGTAGAGTATATAAAGAAATTAATATTCACTAGCTGGGCAATCCTTATAAAACTATTTGATTCCTATACAGTTGTGGGGAGAGGGCTAGAATGGGTGTTAAGTCTTCTAAATGTAATTGTGTCCAGTATTCCACAAAATACTACTCAGTGGGAAAGATTTTTTTAAAATCCTGGCTAGTGTTTTAAAATCTGAAATCAGATTTGCTACTCATGTCTACTAAAAGCTTTTTCCAAACCCAGCCAGGAGGCCTCAATAATGTTTGATCTGATCATATGCATCTTTACTAAAAAGTGAAATCCCAGTGGGCTTAATGGTACTTGCTTCAGGTTAGTATGCGTAGGATTTCAATCTTAACTATATCAAATATCTTTTTATTGAATCAAGAGCTTTGTGGTATTCAGTCCAGCCTATTCTGAAGATGATCCACCAGAAATTTGCCAGTCTAACATCTACTTTATGTCTGTCTTTGCTGAACACTACAATAGCTGTAGTGCAGTTGATAGACGCTCATTCAAAAATGTTAGAAGATGGACTAATTTTGAAAGTTTAACAGTTACAGTAACATGGAGTGGAAAATGTATAAAAGAAAGTACAAAGGCTTCTGTGTAAAACCCTAATTAGGAAAAAAATGAGTTTCTTAAGCATTTCTTTTTGTATAGGTCTCCAAGAAGGTCCTTGACTCCCAGGAGGTCACCTAGAAGATCAAGAAGCAGAAGTCGTCATCGTGAAGGTCGTGGGTCATCCAGCTTTGATAGAGAACTGGAGAGAGAGCGAGAACGACAAAGACTAGAACGTGAAGCGAAGGAGAGAGAGAGGGAGAGGCGAAGATCCCGAAGTTCTGATCGGGCATTGGAACGGAGGCGAAGCAGAAGCAGGGAGAGGCACAGAAGTCGAAGCCGTGATCGAAAAGGAGACAGAAGAGACAGGGAAAGGGAGAGAGAGAAAGAAAATGAACGTAGTAGGAGGAAAGAGCGGGACTAT